TTTTTTGTTCCTTTCATATATTCATAGATTATTTTTCTTTATACTTAGTTTGAATGTAAATAAATAAAAACTTAGTTTTATTTTACTATTCCTACTACGCAATAAAGGTTTTGTAAGTGAACTTAACAAAAATGTCCCACTGTGCGCATTCTCTTGTAAACACAAAGTTTGAGCGAGTTGAATCTGTGTGTGCGGTTGGAATACAACAGCAAGTATGGGTGAGTACAAACCAGCGATGCCAACTCTGTCAAAGCCGATTTCCTTAAATTTCTGAAAAAAGCCTCCATTTTCAATAGTACATATTGCCTGAAACGAATTTCTTTCATTATTTGAGGTAATTTGTTTTTTAAATTAAAAAAGCAATGAATGTAGCTATGATGCAGTATTTTAATTAATATAGCAAAGGTAGCGCACCGCATATATCAGATTGTTCGTAGCATGCACTTTGAATACACCGTTCATAGCAATTCGGATTATGTGAAATAATGTACAAATTGGTATATTATACATATGTACATACATGCATACAAATATGTGTGAAAACATTTTTTATATATGTATTCAGAAAAGTATACCACATCTTCCCACTGGGAAAATAGGTAAGCACCTTACGAGGTAAGCCATGTTTTCTTTCAGTTTTTAGTACCAAAATTGTCATCATGGCCAATGTCATCTACTAGTAAAGCACAAAATGAACACCTCCAACGACACATTACGTTGTCAGTTGCAAAGTAACGTGCAGCCGAAGTTATCTCCAAGCGCCGAACTACTCCGAGCGACTTCTCTGCATTACACGTAACTTACTTTGTAAAGCGGCTCAGAAGTATGCCTGATACCAAATGTACATTCTAAATTCCTAATTACATAAGGCGGCCATGCCTTTGTAAAAGTAAGGGACGTTCGGCAGGGAAATGGCAATGACTGCCAGGTGAAGAGTAAGTTGCTAATAAGGTATTATTACGTGCTCCTAATTCCCACTGGGTTCATTCCGATTTTTTGTCATACATAAGCATATACGTATATGCACATATTTTGATTTATTTCTTAACACTAATTGTTAACAAAGATTTTGTAGCTGTAAGCATGAATGGAACTTTACAACGAACGAAATGCTGCAAAGCTACGTATATACAAGTATTTACATGCATGCTATCTATGCATCTATAATTCTTTATTGTAAGTATATTTAGTTATAGGGAGCAATTGTCCGCAAAAATATCAATTTAACTTATAGTATTGCAAAACAAAAACTTAAGATACATATGTATGTGAATAAGTACTTTGTATGTACATATTCGTAATGAAATTAAGTTTGCATTAAATTCCAAATTCCAAGATTTCTTAACAACGCAATTCCACATCTGGCAACCGTGCTCTTCGTACTCGTGACTGAGCATAGTAGCAGCGCTTTCCTCTCTTCTTTACAAACACATGCGCGCGCGCAAGTACATGGCTATTGCTTCCCAGTGATGGAAGTGCAAATGCAATTATATTTTTTCAGCCGTTTTTTAATTTGAAAATATATTCGGTACAAGCACACCATTTAAGGTACACCTGCAACGTAACCAAATAACTTTTCATGAAACCCTTTGTTAGTTTCAGATAAAAAGTAAAGTGATTAACCTTTTTTAAAACATTGTTTTGTCTCGAGCTGCTCGAAGATATTTCTCCCTACGTAATTTTTATACCCAAATTTATTTAATGTTATTCCAAAAGTTGATATGGCATTGAAGGAAAAAGTTTCCCCCTACTATGAAAGAATTCATACTTATAAAAACCATTTTAGGTAGATTTATTTACTTTTAGATAGAACTAGGTACAAATAGGTACAATTTGAAAAACTTATTTTCCATCCCTGTTGCTTACCCTTTCGGTTTGAAGTTTTTGCCCCGCATCCCGCACCTGCTTGCCCGCGCTGCTGCGATCGGGCTGTTCTGCTGCCGGTCCCTAATCTATACTATGAATACTTGCTTCTTCATTCGGCTTGTACATTATTATTTTGCCTTAAGACTTATTATGCGAATATTAATATAGCCCAAAATATGTTCTCATTATTTGTTCAAAACCTTCCCGCCATATTTGGAGAAAAAAGCGTCACGTACAATGTCCATCACCTACTTCACTCAGCTGAAAATATTAAAGCGATAGGTATTGTATCTGGCTCATCTGCATACGGTTTTGAAAACTACTTACAGATCCTTAAAAAGTATGTCAAAAAACCAACATATGTGCTACAACAACTTTATAACAGAACTACACTTGAGAATTTGGTAAAACAGCCTGTATGCGTAGGTTTAAAATTACTTAAAAATGGAAGGTATCAGTACCAACGTAATAACTGTGTTTTTACGTATACTCCTATAAAAATCCAATTTTTAAAAATGAGAATGGGGGCTTAGTCGTAGGAAAGAAGTTTACAAATTTAAAAAGTTTTTTCACGGAACCTGTAGATTCAGTGACATTAGGCATATGTGTAGTATATTTAACTCCATTGGAAGAAGAAATATCGTTTTCCGTAGACGAAATAGAATGCAAATTGTTGAGTTTACTCTATAAAGGCCGCTTGCTCATGATTCCAATATTGCATGGATGTTTGT